GGCATCGTACATGGCAAGTCATCCAGGGTCGCAACTATGCCGACTGAAGCATTGTCTGAACAAATGTCCTTCTCAAGTCAAAACGGTCATATTTATAAAATTAGACTGAATTGTATTTGTCCTTAAATGAATTGAAGTATTTGTCCTATCTTTTTTGGCATTGGCGCCAATCGTCTTATAGGAATTTGTTGAAGCTACCACGTCAACCTGGAAGTATATATCTAAATGTAGAAAAGACTCAAAATTCAATTATTTCTTCATGAATTTGATCAAAACGACATTTTCCTATATATAGATAACTACAAAAGGCTTAGTGGTTAACCAGCATCCCTTACTCTTCTCGCAATACCACCCCACCTCTTCCCTCGACTTGGTACGTTGGGGCTCTCAATCTCTTCACTATCGTATCTTTTCCCGCAGTTCTCATCCTTGTAACGCTCTTGATCATACTTATCTTTACGCTCACAGTTCGCTTCCAACTGAGCGTTTTGCTTTGTGCTCTTTTCCCTACTCCCTCCCCTGATCTCATCATCTTTTCTTTTCTTTTCCTCCCACCAGTCAGTCTCCCCTCGATCCTTATCAACATCAAGCCCTGCAGGAAAGAATTCCTTAAGTAGAGACCTGCCGCATCCAGGCTCCCATGTATCAAGATCCATCAACACATCCATAACCTTCTGTCCTGTGAATACCATCTTTTGCCTTTTCAGATGGATGCCGCGAGACTCTGGCGTTCGGCTCATTGCCGCAGTGGTAGCGTTATGGACCAGGCCAACTGTTCCAACCCCGACCAAATACCATACTCTTTCTTTCAGTGCCATTACTGAGATGAGAACTGCTGCCCAAAGGAGTATGAGAAATCCACATAGCAGCCTGGTTATCCAGAAGCCTATCGGAAGGCTACGGAAGAGCCTTGCTTCCTCTCTAAGCTTTCGTTTCTCCATGTAAGATTCAATGACATCTTTGCTCCTCGCCCGTGGCACCGGTTTGCCTCCTTTGCCCTTATACCATTGAAAACACCAGATCCCTAGCCAAGTCCCATTCCACACAGTGACAATGTCCTTCTCTTTCATGTATTCTTTAAAGGCTTCCGTCCGAGAAACCTTTACCTCCTTTCCAGTTTCATCCACGTATTTCACGCACCATTTGACTTCGTTCCACGATCTAGGTTGTCGTGGTCCTTCTCCCGCGGCCAGATCTTCGATGTCCAGGCTACCCGCGTTTCCCAAAATCACTATCACATGACGCGACCCATTTCCCGTGGTGATTGCGATCCTTTTTGCGGATTTAGCACGACAGGCCAACTTCTCCACTCTCCATTGAGGTAATGCTGCCGTTATAACGGCTCCGCAAGTTCCCAATATGGTAATCATCAAAGGACCCCAGTCACCAAAGCATTTCAATGGTATGATAGTGATGCCCAGCTGAATGAGAATGGCCCCTGATCCAAACCATCTTGATCTTCCCCGTGCCACAACCTTTCCACGAGGAGGATCGACGGCTTCATAAACCTCGACCCGCAGTGCTTCGTTCAAGAGTGGCTTTTCCAGATCTCGTAATAGTCGACCAACAATCCAAGATCTATTCGTTCGTGTATAGCCGTTTTCGAGATTAATAACCTTGCATGCGTAGTCTGCGGGTGGCATCAAACGTCCATCGCCGACCAAGACACTTATAGTAGAGAAGGCGTACGACACCCAGCCGAAGCTAAAACAGATGGGAACGAAAGATGGTCCGGTGAGCTGGGCAAGTGCTGATTGTATGACGGGGCCTCCGATTATCATTAACAGGGACATGAAGCCAGCTGGATTGCGCCATTGCCCGGCGAGGGCAGAGGCGGTAGAGTTGTCTGCCATCAAGAGTCTAATTTAGGCTCACTACTACTTGTTTCTTGTTGGAAAGCTCCGGAAAGTATGAATTTGTGACTTGGAGAAATGATAGAGAATCAGGTAATTAAGTGAGATGCGCGCCCGGGGCATGTGACACTTACCCCGCATGATCGTTGGGTGATGTTATAGTGCCACGGCCCATGTGAACCCAATCGAGACTCACGCCCATTCGTCAGACTCTACGGAGTACCTCCTATTTGTCTCGGAGAGGACAGTGCAGTAAGACTAACATGTTCGTGGCTCTCCAAGAATTTACCGTGGTAGATTGAATGGAGCGGGGTTAGCAGGAAGCAGGACCAGGTTCCGACGAAAGTAGCGTTTCCCATCCCTCTTGCAATTATCGCTATATACAGAACCTAAAGCAGACACCAGCTTGCTCTTGAGCAACATGGATCACCTTGATGACCCGTAAAGGCCATCTAGAGCTTTTAAAATCCCTTTTGCTAGGGAAGTGTACAATGCGTTGTGTTTTGCTGGCTATCTCTCCCATGAGCAGGAGCAAATTGCTAATCTCGTCGATAGTGCTTGTTCTTTCGACCAGGCCGTCTTCATCTAGAGGATGACGGTCCAAAATGCTGTTGGTTTGCAAAAAGACATAATTTAATTACATTCGATGTCGATGCATCTTCATACAATCCATGAAGCTGTTACGATATATATCATAAGCTAGACAAAAGATTAAGTTAAATCTAGAACTGGAAGTCCGGTTGCTGCTATTTTTAAATCCAGTTTGAGTTCATCGATTCGAAACATGTTCAGAAAACTTAGCAAAAGAAGGTCGGTAGTGAGCTCGGTGGCATAAGAGCAGTTGAAACATCGATAGGCCGTGATCCACAACCTTTGATCGTCCCGCAATCGTTCCAAGGCTTCGAGAAGGAATGTTGATATTCTTTCAGCGCCTGGAAGTTGGATCTTGAATGCCCATTGGCATTTTGCATAAAGAAGACTCAAGCCCAGCTCAACTTTGCTTTCCTCACATTCGATCTCGGCAACTTCCATGGCGTTCTCCACCAACTCCGACAACTCCATTATTCCGAGGCCAGGGTTCTCTTCATACGCTTTACCCAGAAGCTTGAGCTGCCGTAGCATAGCTTCCAAAAGTAAGGCTGTCTTTTTCGGGTCTTCGTGTAGGTGCTGATTCTTCCAGATTTCAGTTGCTCTTGCATGGAGGCCCAAGATCCTCTGATCTGTCTCGAATCTGTACGTCACAACACCACCAGAATCAATACCGTTCGTCATCTCGACTTCGGCAACGTCTCTGAGGATAAGGGGTTCCCGGTTAGACAACCTGATGAGGCAGTCCTTGAAAAACAACTCCCATCCTCCGTGTCCCCAGAGCCGTGAATAGGCGATGTGAAGCCCGCATCGGGTGTAGTCGTTTATGTCATAACAGGACATGCCGCATTCCTTCATGGTAATCATAATGAGAAGAGCAATATTCCTTGGGGGCGCTTGTCTCAGACTCTGCCTGATATGCATAAGAAAGTCTATTTGGTTGGGGAAAATAAGGGGTGGGCGTCCGGTGGTGAAGAAAGGAGTCGGCCAAAGTTTCTTGATATTCGGGTTCCCCTGCGTGGCTTGTTCATAAGATTTGATCAAATCTTCTTCAACTATCTCCAGCATACCGTAGTCAAAGTCCAGGGATGCTTCGTATTGTAGGCAACATTCCCAGCTGTCAATCTCTTGCCTCAGTGCCTCTAATCCTGAGTAAAGCTGTTCAGTTCTCAACAGGCTTCCGTCGATAGGCTGTCCCAGAAGGTCCTTACGCAGAACTATCACGGAATTGTGTTTGTTAGGCCATGAGACACATAGCTCCGATATACACCAAGCTCTTTCTATGTAGTCATCGTCATCTTGCCTGAGGCTGACGACATAATCACAAGAGACAATCAAGGACGGAAGGAGTCGCAGCCCTTCTTTAAAAAAGACCAGTTCATCCGCAGTTCTGTCATCGACTCTAAATGTGTTCTTTTGTGGCAAACACATAAAGTCGATCCAAAGGCCGATTCTAGATAGAATTGTTGAGTCGATGGTGCCCTTTTCACTTGCTATTTTGCTTAGGACACGAGCTGCTTGTAGGTATCCGTGAACCTTTAGCGTCTTGACCTTCTTGATCCTATCTTCCAATGGCGAATGGTAGACTGATGCAAGGTCCTTAATGGCACTCAGAAGAAAGTGAATAGCATGAAGATGTTCACCCTCTGGGTCTGGATGGCTGGGTGATGCCCAGCGATGGGAGATGAATAAAATAAGCAGTGGTGCTTCTCCCCACTCATATAGGGCTGGATCAATGTCCTGAAATCGTTGCATGTGACCAAGTTCTAATAGCTTACTCGCTTTGAGTAGCCTTGACACTTTGAGTAGCTGATTTCGTTTCATTAATTGACGGATTTCAAGAGGATGGCCAGAATCATTCGCTGTCAAGGCTGGAGGTTCGTTGCCAAACATTAAAGCCTTCAGATTGGCTAATGAGACCATAATAGGGTTGTTAACCGAGAACTGTAGCATGTTTTTGTGTCTGTTGGTCAATTCGAATGTCGATGTTGAATTGAGGCTCAGGGCGAGATAATGCACCGGTTGGACACGAATGCAGGTGTGTCAGGTTTACTGTTCACAGGGGCTGGCTATGAGCTTTTTAAATTAAAGAAGAATGGTATAAAGAATACTTTGTATACTTTACAGCATTTATAGGACTGGTGGTACCAGGAGGCATGGTGGCGTGTTACAGTACGAACTAGCGAAATGGTGGCTGTGTGTTAGGGGGAACGAGAAGACCAAGGGGGTGGATTGAATTTCTGCTTAGTGGAAGTAATCTACACTCACGCCACTTGCAAATTCAGGCTGGAGAGGACACAGCTAGTTCAGGATCGCTAGTACGTAGCTCATGGTGACCACTCAAACCGTGCCAGGCCGCGGACTTTGAATCATCTAGCCGACAGTAATTTGAGCTGTATGTGTTATTTGCAGATTAGACCCGTAGCCGACAGTTTGAATCATTATAGAGAACTTAGATCTAGCATACTCACAACGACTGTAGACCCCCGAGGAAAAAGAACAAGAAGCAACCGAATCGAATTTGCAGGTTCAAATTTATGAACCAGAATGAGCAGCCTGTTAGTGGTTGGTAAGGTTGCGCGACTCTTCCTTCTTCTTTTCTTTCTCCTTCCTCGCTCTGTCTCTTGCCTCCTTGGCCATCTTGTCATAATTATCCCATCTCTTTTGTTCTTCCTCACGTAATTCTCCCGTGAAGAAAATTGGCAGCATACTCTTCCCTAGGCGGGAATAACGTTCCTCAACTTCGAGCAAAGTGTCCATGACCTTGGGCTTGCCTATGACTTCCACAAACTCAAGAGGCACGCCGAATGCTTCGGGAGAGCGACTCGTGCCAGCGACGTACATGTTCTGCAGAATGCCTATGCCACCAACTGCAAGGAGGAACCATGTATTCTGCCTGATTCCCGACGCGGTGATAAGGAGAAGGATCCAGAGGAAGCCGAGAGCGGTGACAATCAATCTAGTTTCCCGATCGGCAAACGCACCCGAATCGGCAGCAGCGAGATCCTCAAGATCCAGACCGATGCCCACACCCTGGATCACGATGGCGTGTTGGCTGCCGTTTCCACGGGTTAACACAAAGGTCTTTTCCGTGTCGGTTCGGCACGCCCACTTCTCCTTTGACCACTGCGGCAAAGCCCCAGAAGCAAAGGACAACAGGATGCCGGCAGCCGTAATTACAAGAATGCTCCAGTCGCCGAATATGCCGCATGGTATAGCTGCCACGCCAAGCTGGACGATGCAGGTGAGGAAGCCGGCGATGTACGGAGCGTCGTATCCGGGATAGCCCTTGGTGGCTTTCCTTGCTCTGTAGACAGAAACACAAAGTCCGGCCTTGGGCGGTCGCTCCGGTTCCGGCCGACCTTTCTGCCTCGCACGTTGTTTCAGATCCTCCCACTTCAGCTCGATGATTTCCTCAACGCGAGCACGGACCGCATTCGGACTTGGGTCCAATGGCTGAGCTGACGGCTCCACTGCCCGAGGTTGCTTGTCCATCCATGTCTCAAAGTCTCTTACCATACGGCCGATAATCCAGCTGTTGTTATCGCGAGTATACCCAGTCTCGCCATTGATAACAGTGCAGGAGAAGTCAGCGGGTGGCATCAGCTTATTCTCGCCGATCGCCGAAACAACAGCGGTTATCGCGTAAGCAACCCAACCTAAGTAACGCCAGAAAATCATTCGTTAGCTGCATGAGAGACAAGGTCAATTGGGAAGACGTCCGTACCAAACGAGAACGCGACTGGCGTAAAGCGCGATCCTACCAATTGTGCTAGCGCGCGAGCAACAACATCACCACCGAGAATCAGGAGCACGGAGAAAACGTCGCTCGGATGTTTCCATTGCTCGGAGAACTCGTTGGAGGGAAGTCCGGGATTGAAAGCACGACGGACGATTTGTGACAGGGGGGCCATAGCGCTCATTTGGGTAATTACGCGAGTTATCTTCCAAGACGCCGATGATATGTATGGTAGAAAAAGCGATCCGCGACCCTTAAGTTATAGAGGGAATTTAGGGTATGCTTCTTACGACCTAATGAAGAAAAGCGCTTATGTCACATGCCCCTTACTAAAATCTCACCAATTATAGAGAGACTTGTACGAGCTTGCCTTAAATAAATACTAGAAGTTATTTTAAGGCTTAAAATAATAAAACTAAAAATTCTTTCATTAAATAAAATTATATATATAAGCTTTATATTACAGGATAAATTTAAAGATTAAAAATATAAAATTCTATAGATTGTATGTATAAATTATAATCGATTAATTTATAGCTATAATACCTTAACTTAAATAGAACTCTCTTTAATATTAAGACTTTCCTTTTTATCTTCAGCAGAATGGTTAATACTCTCTTGAGCAATAGATTCTGTCGATATAGCATCAATTGGATCACCAAAGAGCTCTTGAATATCTTCAAGAGACATTTTAGATGTCTAAGACCAGATGAGCTGTTATCTCCAAAGCAAAGATCGCCACAACATACCTCAGGGAATGTGAAATAAGCATACACAATGATGATTGACGTTAGGCCGATAAACACCAGGTAGAACTTCCAACCAATGTTGGCAAACGCCGTAGGCGCAGCTGTTGTAAAAATAATGGTAGCGAAAAACAGACCAGAGACTGAAATCGAAAGGCCCTTTGCCCGGACTGGCGTGGGAAAGATCTCGGATGCATAGACATAAGACGTAGCGTCGCAGCAAAGAGTGAAGATGGTGACGTGAAGAAAGAGGAAAAAGACAGCGCCTGACGCAGCCCCTCGATGGTTTGTCTTCTCAAAAATGGACATAGTAATGCATTCTCCCACAAGGGCAAGAACGCAACCCGCGAAGCCGGTAACTATGATGTTTTAGCAAACTCCCATTTCAGAGCCATATCCATGCCCGGATCCAGTAAAACGTAGTACTCACGAAGCATCTTGACTCGCCCCATATGGTCCACAAGGTAAGCATTTATGAAATTGCCGAAAGGGGCCACAGAGATCCAACCGCACTGGATAAGAAGTTGTTGGACGGCGTTGAATCCCAAGCTCTTATACAGCAGGGGTCCATAATCTGACTCGTTAGCACTTGAGCGGCCCCGAGTTTTCATAGACCATTGCTACTCACTGTTGATAACAATAGTTGCTGTGGCCTGGCAACCAAACGTGGTGAGGAAGCCAGTGATGCATCTTTTTCTCATTGAAGGACTCTTAAAAAGATCAACAAACCTAATTTGTTGCTCAATTTCGCAGATAGTTTGTCTTCGGAGAGTCTCGAAATCCGCATCGTGAATTTCTTGATCGGACGTCGAACCTCCTGTAGCTCCGAGGCGGGAATAGTTATATGAGTCACGAGCGTCATCCATACGGTTTGCTAGAATGACTGCCGAAAAGTCAGGTACTGGAAGATGTTGTTTATAAGGGATGAACTTACGCCAACGGGGGGTTTCTCGCAGCATCAAAATGCCAATAGCAAGTAAGAGTGAGGGCAAGCACTGAATGGCCAGAGGAATACGCCATTGGGCACCTGATGCTTCCACGAAGTAGAATCCCAAGCCGACCCAACTTGCCAGAGCATATCCTGTGCCGATCATGCCACCATGGATGCCGACCAAAAGTCCGCGAATATTTGATGGCGACATTTCACTTTGATAAAGCGGAACCAAGGTAACCAGAGCCCCTGCGAAGAGTTAGTTTCACGACTTCGCGGGATGTTCTCCTCTGTCAACATACCGATACCAACACCAGTGAGAAAACGCATAGCAATAAACATGCCAATGTCGACACTTCCAGCCTGGAGGGCTCCGCCGATGGTCGAAATGAGTGCAGCAACCAGAATGGCCTTGCGGCGGCCGAAATGGTCAGCAATTGCGTAGCAACCCAAGGTTCCAAGGAAACCTCCGGCCTGAAACAATCCGTTGATAGCTCCCATGAGGTCATTCGCGTTTGGTCGTGTATCCAAGGCGAAGTAACTCAGGAATGTCGGCTGGCCGAGTGTCGTAGCAATGATGCTGGATGCATAGCCATAGCTGAGACTGCCGAGAGCCACAAATATGACAATCTGTGTAAGTTAGACTGAGGTCTCTCTAGTTAAACTGAGTATACGAACAGGTAAACGCATTGGTGAAGAAGACTCCATTATGAACTGGATATTAAAAGCTTCTCTTGGTGAATCGTGTTGTTTTGGTCAATTGCTTTTAATGACTTGTCATGGAGGATCATTAGGCATTTATACATCTCTATATAACTGCATTGTATCTTGTCCGATCTGCCTTACCGAGATATCCCAAGATTTCCTCCAGTGCCACAAGCCGTTAATGCATACTCCGTAGTCACATTCACTATCACTCTTGGATGTGTCGCTTATCGGTTGACAGGAGCTATGCCGGATGGGGTAAATTTTGAAGTTTAACTGCTTGCCTTTAATTGGCTGCTGATAACTACCCCGTTTGCACCTCCGGGTAATACCTATCCTTAATGACTAGCTTGTCGTATCTTAGATCTAGAAGCTAGACTTGATCCCCTGAAAGAAAGATAAAAAGATAAGGAGACTTAGTGCCGGTAAAGGTCGAGAACCTGGGGAAGTAGCAGCTGATAAAAGATAAGAAATTGTGTTTTCCGGGGACATAGGTCTAGGATAGGTAGTACCCGAGCCACTACCTTTATGGTTTACTGGACAATCTGTACATAACAATACCGCCAACGACTAAAATCCCTTCTCTTTCCGGTATATTTATCGTGATAATAATATCGTTGGCATCATTGGCCATTATTCTAGCCGCATTACGTTTGATGACCTCATATATTATCGGGAATTAACCGAGAAACGGCCCGGGTAATGGTCTTATCATGTCAGCTCGGAATGTCTTCGTCCCCTTGATATGTCGTCCGTCTATTGTACTTGGATCTACATTTTCTACTATTCCTATAACTCCCCAGGTTATTCAACGAGATTATATGTCTTTATTGAAGTCTTGATATTAATAGAAAGCCTTATATCTATCTAACTATATGTAACTGTTATAAGAATATGTATAATGTTTACAACAGGAGAATACTAAGGAGTCTAATTCCTATAGTTGCTAGTAGTACTTTAGTAGTAGCCTTGACTAGCTATTTTTAATACCTGAGCTCGATATCTATGATCACTACTATAAGCTTGATTTTCTGCTTTACTTGCGCTGTCTGTCCCTTAATAGAGAAAAGAGTATATATGACGTACTTAGAGGTATTTTTATCTGCAATAAATACGATCTATAACTACTGCTAGGACTATAGTTTTCTTTATTGTTGCCTTATCTTACCTTTATAATGTAGGCACTTTGTCGCCATTATTTAACTTCTATTAGGGCATTTTAAGGTTTCTTGAAGAGTTTTAACACTCTTGGACTGGTAGTTATGGAAGCTCAATTTAATTCCTGCAGGGCAGAAACGTTCTATAAACTTGGCAAGCCAGCTGGTCACCTTCTGGTGCTATCTTTTTATCTAAAGCATATAACTGGGCTACTGTCTGCCAGTGCATGTTTGGGTAAGTCTTTCTTGCACTTAATACTTGGCAGCATTATATATTTAACAGATTCGGTTATAGAAACTGTATATATGTAATCATCTTCGAGATGCCGTTAAAAGACATAATTGTTGCCTTAGACCCCTCTACTCTTATAGAAAGAAAAGATTTAAGCTAAACAGTGTCAGCATTAAAGCAAGGGCAATGGCAGCATAAATAGGCCTAAGAATGAGCTATGCATATATACTATAATAATAGGCATCATAGGTACTTCAAAGACTTTCAAAACGATAGCGTTCTGTCACAAAAAGCATATAACCTAAAGATTTGCCCAAGGCTGATAACTGTCTTCACACATGAGTCGCTGGAATTGACGACGTCTGATGCCAATATTTCCTCCATCGAAAAGCGGGAATACAGCTGCATCAGCTAGAAGGCGAGGGAAGCCCGTGTCATTTGCATATGATGTCCTAAAAGCGCGTTAGCTCAATGCAGAAACAGGGTATAAGTGCTAAGAACTTACATGCCGACTACCTGCATGCATTCGTACACGCATTGGATCGCCGAATCGGAGCTGTGAATCTTTGCTTCCAGGCAGGCTTCAAACCGAGCCTTAGAATCGCCAGGACCATTGTCCAAAGAGTCTAGAGCCTTCCACACCAGCGCTCGTGACGAGTCGATTCTCATCTTGGCATTGATGAGCAAGTCAGCGGGACTCTGCCTCTGGATGATGGGTACCGAGCCTCCTCTATAGTCGTTCTTAGCGAACGCCAGCGCCTTTTCGAAAGCAGCGCGCATGGTGCCGACAGCCATAGCTCCAACCATGGCTCCCGTGATACCAAAGGCCTCTTCGATTTGCTTCGCACCTGTACCAGGAGCAAACAAGACGTGGTCAACGGGAACTTTGAAGTTGTTGTATCGTGTTTGAGGGCCGGTGACGGCGATATGTCCCATGAGATTTGGTTCTTCGAGCATCTGGTAGGCTTCAGGTGGGTTCTGAGCTACCACTTCTCGAGTCACAAGCAGCACCATCAAGGTGGAGGATGGGTCGACGTCAGCCTTCTCAGGGCCGCCGTCCTCGGAGTATCGAACACAGAGGCAAGAAAGGGTTGCACCTTTGGCATCCCAGCCAGCACTGTTGGTGGTCCAGCGCTATCATAGAGTTAGTAACACAGTACATAGAGAGCAACACCGGTTCTTACCTTTTCACCACTGACAACGTAGAAATCTCCTTCCTTCCTAGCAGTAACACCTAGGCCTTTGCCACCCTGTTCGAGATGATTGGCCGTACCACCAGGTTCCGAATGAGTCAAACTTGCAAGATAATCACCATCCCCCGAGATGAAGGGTGTCAAAAATCGTGCCTTTTGCTCAGGCGTGCCGCCAATGAGAAGAGGAAGCAAGCCAAGGGCAGTACCAACCAGGTGAATTGTAATGCTCGAGTCGACAGCATAGAGCTCTTCGAGGATGAAAGCAGATTCCAAGAGACCACTTGCATCTCCGCCATCAGCCTTTGGAATCAAGGCCTTGAGCAAACCTGCTTGCACCAGCTTGGAGTAGAAAGGGCGGGTGGCGCGAAAGCGATCAATCTGATCAGGGAACTTGGAGTAGGCGGCATAGGCAGACCCTAGGACCTCCTTGGCGATTTTTGCAGCCTTAGCTCGCAAGAGCTGCTGGCTTTCGGTCAATGTAAATTGAACCATTGTGAGGTGATAATTACTCAGTGCTTGATAAAGTCGCTTTGTTCAGGAGGTGAGTTTGGTGTTGGTAAGAGTACGAATAAGTCAGATGTAATGGTGGCTTTTATAACCTAGACTTCTCCAATATCAAGTTATTTCCTATCTACATCATTATATCTATATGCTACCCATTCTAGCGTTGTATCAGCTTCGGTAAATAGCTAGACCCAATCCTCCCCATACCGAGATAGATAGGTTTCCTATCTCCGATTTGGATGTTAGGGATCAATTACTCAACCACCATAAGTCTAACTCGCCATTAAAATATCACACCACTTGATTGGACACTAGCTTACAAACTGCAACCTTACTTCTTAGTGTCCAATAATCATACCAGCTTACCCGTTCTACTGAATGTGTCTGCCCCGCACTTTGAACATGTGGAGGATAAGAACTACCCGGGACGGACTTTATCCTATCTTTAACTGATAAGCTCCGGATAGGCAGAAACCATAAAATTACGGGTCCTTTCTTGACTCCGGTAGGTGTTGAGAAATGATCTGCTTTTTGGCATTCGGCGGTATCCATTGATAGCCACGACAGGACATGACAACAAGCCAAATACTGACAGCAATTTCTTGTATTTGGAACTGTTTAACGACTTTCTACAGGAAAGCAAGAGCGTAGCTCAACAATACACGCTTCAATATATCTATAGAAACAAGAAGCCTGTGAATTCTAACCTGGTTAATTACATTTCGTTATAATTTTAATCGCATATCCGTTTTCTCAATTTACACGATTTGGTATACTATTTATAAGCGTTTCGACTCAGAATATACGACTTTCGCATTTATCGGTCGAATTATGCGTTGTACTTTATTCTTTCATCACAAGACTAGGACAGCCCAATGGAAACTTACCCATAAACAGCAACGCAGACAATAAAGAAAGTCTACTGCCAGTTTAGCCCAATGAAACGCAGGCACATGGGGTGTGATAGAAGAACAATGAATGAGGTGTCACCGTGTCAGAAAAACGTCATTATGTCAAGTCATTCGAGTCCAAATCATGAATATTGGTTGGATAATGACGGATGGCCTGGAAGTTTAACGCTAGAATCTGGTCGAAATATTCAAACTTTCAGCTATATAAGCGGAGCCAATTCCAGCTGACAGAGAAAAATCTATGGATTGTATACCGTTCTTGAGCCATTCAGAATGCTTTCCTCTAAGCCAGTCTTACTGTGTATCGGCTCCGGTCCCGGAATTGGCCGTTCAGTCACGGCTCTTTTCGCTGCCAAGCGCTATCAAAACGTCGCTCTAATCGCCCGACGACCTGAGCAGCTTGATATTGAGAAAGCGGCTATCCTCGAGGCAACGGGCCACGGAGTCGATGTACGGATGTATGCTCTGGATATCACCGACACAGAGGCGCTCCATTCTACTATCACTCGCATTGAGCAAACATTGGGCAATATCGAGTGTGTTTTCTACAACGCCGCACGAGTTCAAAAGTCATCCTTTTTCACATATCGTGTTGAAGATCTCGAATATGACTTCAAGGTAAGGGTCCCTAGAATAAGTTAACAAGGCGATTCGCTGATGATTTCCAGATCTGTGTGTCGGCCCTATATATTGTGGCAAAGCGACTGATGCCTCACCTTCTAGATCTTGCAGAGATGAAACCATATTTTAAACCAGCTTTTATCGTGACGAGTTCGATGCTGCCTGTTGAACCAATGCCGGACCTTTTTGCCTTGTCTCTTGCAAAAGCAGCCCAGCGCAATCTGGTTAAAAGTCTGTCCATGACATATGGGCCACATGGAGTTCATATCGGTGTCATCAATGTCGCAGGCTTTGTATCTCCAGAGGACAAGGTGACAAATCCTAATAATATCGCGCAGAAGACTTGGGAATGGTTTGATACGAGGGGAAATGCCCCATTTGAGGTGCGGATTTAGATCAATTTAGTGCTCCAACCGTGGAGCACTAGATAGTTTGTATCCGTAGTCTATTATGTATTAATTTTAAGTAAGCGGTCTTTGACCAGTGAAGGTGTTGGTGTGTATTTAGACAGAATACTATCTGCTAATTGACTTAAAATCCATTTACTTCGGAACATAATAGTAATGGCAGAATATTTTAAAAATGCTTCTAATAGTAGAATTATAGACCAGAGAATATCTTCAGTATAACCCTTATGTCATTTTGGGATCCTTTGCCAGCCAAGGGTCAAGATCATATAAGTCTGCGAGCGAAGACATAGTCTCCGCCCCAAACATGTCATTCATAAAGGTTTGATCAGTCAGCAGCCACTGGAGGTTGTCAAATTCAACATTAGAAGCCTCTTGTGGACTGAACTGATTTGAGGGTTGTTGGGCGTTTCCTTGCGAAGCTCCCTCCCCAGGTCGTGAGGTTTCAGCTTCCAAACCATTCAAACTAAGATCATGCGTAGCCCAGGATGCTGCTAGTAGTTGAATTGCTCGACATGCTCTAAAGCTCCACGTCCACAAGGTGCCCATTTCTTGTAGAGCCGATACGCAAACTCTAAGCTTTGAGTTTCCTCTTCGTCGAGTAAAAGGGTTGTCAGAGACGGCGTCCATAAGATGAATAGTTGCTGCCGTAAACGTGTGACAGACAGTCCCTACGACAATAAAGCGCTTTGCACTCGTCAGTAGGATGTTTACTATTAGCAGAAAAGTAACAAGGTAACTTACTAATGTGTAATGGTGTTTATAGGTGCGAAGTATTGTTATTATTTCATTGGCTGAGGCGCGACATATCTCCATGTGGCGACATGGGTCTGATGAAGTATCGCCCAGTGATCGTTTTCTGTTACTTATAAATGGTCTATGAAGCAAGATCTGTGCAACGTGATACTGCATGCTACAAATAATTAGTAAAATTAAAGTGATGTATGTCCTGCTGGTCATACTGTAATTGGTATACATGCGGCAATGCTGCTTTTTTAGAGGTAGTGGGCAACCGGAGGAAGGATGGGAGAAGTGCCCAGCATGTCTTCATCTCAATATCCGTTTTTGAGATAAGATCATGCATTTCAGAGGTAGATAAGGTGCTTTTCGGAGCATAGCTGCAGCCGTTTCACTCAGGGTTATTATGCAGCCTTTCAGTACTCATGTGCTCAAAACTTACATGATATCTAATGTCGCGACAGCCAAGCTTAGATGGTCGGACATGTAGTTCGCAGTTGACGGAATCCTTGAAAAGGACTCCCGCACATGCTTTTGTGCGTCCGCTGGAGTGACCCAAGGCTCGAATTCGGCAAGATCAAGGGTGCTCAGTTTTGGACATGTCACATAGTGATTAGCAACTGTCCCAGAGCGCCCCAATCCGAAGACAAAGAGTCTGCGAAACGGTCAATGGCTTGAAATAGGTAAAGAGGAAATTCGCAACTATACTTATCAAGAATCCAGCAACCAGACCATACAACTTGACGAATATTTGCAGCCTCCTTGGAGATAACACCAGATTCAACCAAGTTGGTGCAGTCAATATTGAGGCCAATATTAAACGCCATACGAGTTGCCATGCCTGCATCAAAGTCAAAGGTCAGTTGAATAAAAGTGCTTGGGGCTAGACAAGAACATCATACCTATATAAAGCCAGCCAGCTGGTTCTTTGTTCTCTGCCATACATTGTATTGAGAGGAGTGCAGCGGCTTGAACCGCAGAAATCGTCGTGATCTCACACTCATGCCGTAGAAGGTCCTTGGCATGCACTGCAAATTCGACGCCTGCCGTTGAAGGGTCATCAGGATCTGTTCGTAGGCACGTACGGTCCGAGTATCGTGCAGCCACGGAGTATATCGCCCAGAGGAGTAAAGGCGTACAATGTTCCGTAGCGATATCATCATAGAAATCCCGCATGAAGACAGTCTTTTCAACGATGTATACCCACGGATTTTGCCAGCAGAAATAGAGCTCGAGAAGGTGCTCTTGTAGTTCCAGTGGTAATGTGACAACCTGGCTTAGACGGACTTCTGGCTTGCCTCGTTCGGCTATGTTGGATGCCACCTTTTGAACCAAGTTGAAATTGCTCACTGAGCTAAAATACCGTAGCTCGCCATCATCGTCGATTGCAAGCGAACCCGTCTTTTCAGTGATTTGCTGAAGCAAAGCTTCGGTTTCATCCACCTGGACTTTCTCCATATTTGGCGCGTCTCCAGCGGCCCCATCATTTTGAGCAGACTCGGTGACACCAACAGGAATTGATTGACCCAGTGCAACAAGTCGATCCTCCAAAATCTTGATCCGAAGCTGTAACGTCTCAACAAGCTTTTTACTTGGCGGCCTAGGACCTTCCGTTAGATCGTATGTCATTTATATCAACACCAGGTAGTTGAGAGCTAAATGAGAAAATGAATGCTTAGAGTGATACCTGCGCTTATTCTCACTATGGAGATACTGGCAGAGAATATTCTTTGCCAGGCACGAACTGCACGACGGTTCGGCCCCGTCGCACTAGTAAACTCCAAGTTAGGCTGCAAGGACATGCAAACGGCAATAGAAATGCTTACTTTGATGCGCTTTTGACGGCATGATGTGCATGCGACAGATGATCGCTGATGCTTGATACTCTTGGGGCGAATCGGCTTCATGATAAGATGCATATGTGTGCTAAAATAAGTAGAGTAAGTAGCAGAAAAAGACAGCAAGAGACGTTTATGTAGGCAGGCTTCTAAAGCGAATCATAGTGAAGCTTCTTATCTTGTGGCTAGAATACGACTGATAAGACATCGGCTATAGAGGCGGGAAGTAATTGTAAATAGTAGAGGTTAGCTTAATTAGCACATACCTGTAGTAAGTAGTAAGTAGTTAGAGGGAGATAAGAGATAAGTAGGCAGCTTATTAAAACGTTAATATTTAAAAGTATTAAAAAGGGAATAAGAGACTTAAATCCAGAATAAATAATTATTAAAATTTAAATAAGCTTAATATCACACATACTAACATTTCCTTCCACTGTTTCACCATTCATTACTCCATACAGATAAGAATACCCAACAACTGTATAGTACGCCGCATCGTGAGTCGCATCGCTTACTGGTGCCTGCCGGAGAATGAAAGGCATCTTGCTTCCCAACAAGATGGCCACCAAGTCACCCTGCTTCATGTCTGGCGGTCCAAATCCCATGTATCCTCGCTCCGTCACAAAAAAGGCTCTGTCATCATTTGGGAGCCAAAAAGATCGACTAATAAGCCTCAACCGTGCCTGGATGATAGAAATAGCCTCTCTCTGTGCGACTGGGTCCAACCCAGGGAGGTCATCTGGATTCAAACGTAATCCAGACCCATCTCTTGTCCTCCTACACCATAAAGAGAAGAAAATTTCGTCATCTTCAGTTAGTCGCTCATATTTATTCGGTTCTGTCTCCAGAGCTTCATTCAGCATCGTGCGACAGAATGCTTGCTTGACTGTGCCGCCAGTGACATAGTGAGCTTGGGGCTCTGAGTCGTGACCGACCATCTCAGCGAACTCGTCCAGTCGGGGACCCAACGGCGCGTCTTGCGAGAGAGCAAATGTCGTTTCAGAAACGATGTCGATGTGGACGCCTTCGACAGCGAGGACTCGTCCATGGCAAAGATTTGCTACTGTCCCATTTATCGGGCCAGCATTGAACTTCCAGGACCTTGAATGCACCCATAGATCATTCTCCTCGCCATGACTTGAGCAGCTCCAATCGGGACACCAAGTGGGAATTTCCGAGTCCGCCCTTTTCTTCTCTGTGGTGAGCAGAATCTCTAGTGAGTTTGTGTGACGTATGATCTTGAAGGCCGTTTGGGTATAGACCTGTGATACAGGTATCGAGTAATCAGGTAGGATGGAGAGTCGCTCAGAGCAGTCTCTGGTGAGGCCGAGAATTGAATATATCTTATCACGAGCATCGTAGGCTCCCCTTGTACGCGTCATTCCCAGAAATCTCTGGAGGCGCTGGGCTTCTTTATCCGCATACAACTCCCATTCATGTCGTAGACCTTCCAGCGCAGCAGTATGTTGTGATATGGCCAGCAAGTGTGACTGAAGATCGCCTGAAAGACCCTGATAAAAGTCCCGACAGCATCTCTCAATGTGTATAGGAATCATAGAGCCGCCTCTTTCGACGCTGTCTAGAGGCGCCACTACCTCGCCATAGATTGTCGTCGCGCTGCGGCATAGTATAACCTCCTCAACAACCCAAACTCGCCTCCACCAAGGACTACTTGCCAGTTGGTGGAGCACCGCAAGCGTCTCCGCCCAAACTTGCGGATTGGTACGCTCTAAAAAGAAATTGTCAAGACATCTGCCTCGAGCTAGGAGGATTAGGATAGTGTATGCGCTAGAGATGGCCTGCCTTAGGCGTATAGTCGGGCTGAGTTGTGAAAGCTGGTTGTCGGTCATAGTTTGGAAGTTGCCGAAGTCATTCAAGATGGGACGATCTCTGTCATCCCCAAACCAATGGGACCGTGGGGGATCTGTCCATGTTGATTGCTCTTCTGAGCTAATTGTGTCTAATACACCACTCTCACCAAAGTAAACTTGGACCTCGTGAGCTCCTGAATATATATCCTTCATCAATTCGATTTGTCTGGTCTTCTCAGGCTCTGTGCAGACGTTAGCACCATTCGATTATGAAAGAGAGATATAAATATCTGGGATCTGGGGGGCCCAAAGATGGCTTACTATTTGACTGATTGATGCAAAGAGCATCGATCCAAATATGCCGTGCCTCATCAGAATGTCGGAGTCTCCGAAGTGCGCAATGCAAGTTCTTCGTGACGAGAAACGTCACGCCGTTGAGGAGGATGGGAGTCTCGTCTAATGGGTCCCCCCAGGTATATGATAAGGCCTCGTATGTAGGAGTATCATCGAGGGACACAACCTCAAGGTTGCAGTAGACATCTTCAGACCATCTTCCAGGTACTATGGATGCTAGCCGGATCTCTCGCCTGTCAGTGTCGAGTGGAGCGTAGATTCCACTCCTGGGCCAGATTTGCCCAGATTGAAAAAAGTTGCCAATTGAGAAGGCGGGTAAAACATCCCAACTTTTTGGTGTCTGCATCGTTTGAGTCTATAAATCTGCGAATGAACATTCGGCGCGCGATGGGCTTAATTGGGCGAGGCGAGAGCGAGGGTAAAAGGAATGTGACGAAGGAATGAAGTCGAGCGCGCTCTTTCAGCTCCGACGATCAGCTTGTTATCGCTGTACCTCCATGCACCAGGAGTCCTGTAACACAAGTCTAAAAATCGTAAGAAATTATCAAGATTTCAGCTCTCCGTAATTAGACGGAGGTTTACTAATTGAACCATCAGCTATGACTTGGTTAGTGGGATCGAACCAGGATGGACCCGACTCGGACCAGTCGCGTTATCACCTAAAATACTGTGCCAACTTGTGACACCGCTCTCTTGTACTGCCCAATCACTTCTGGGCATCGAAAATGTTCCGAATTTACCCGGGAATATAAGAGGTGAACATCACAGTGTTTTTGAAGTCGGGAATGTGCTTGAAACGTGAGCTTTGTATTTTCATTCCAAAAGATGTGCCGTACAACCAGATGGGCTAGCTCCTAGAGGGATCGTGGTGATTCTCATACTGGCAAATGAGATAGCGTCCATATTGCGCTGGTTACTTGCGGCTTCGACGTCTCACCACAAATACAAACTAGCAAGTCAGTTTCAAGTAGTAGGTCATTGATCTCACGTGCGTACAATTACTTGTCATTAAGAAAGAGTCTTGGCATTGCTTTAACTACAGGCTTGCACACTGCAATCCATACCACGACATCGAATACCAATCCCGAGACTTCATCATCGCCTCCCTAGAACACCTTGAGTCTTTCATCAAGCTTGACACTATCCGGGTATAGAACTGAGCTGGTTCATTCTGTTGGCCATCTCTTCCCATTGCGATAGGGACCAAGGGTCTCTTCAGGCTCACATCATGGATGGCGATACTGACAGGCTCGGCAGCGAAGAATGTAGCGAGACGTCTCAGCAAGGACGTTGGCGGGTTCATCAATGAAGCACATAAAATCCTTCTTGCAATTGCGACATTTTGGGGTGTTCTTCAATTGCTGCATGATGGCTCTGACCTTTGTGGCAGTGACATCCCGGTCTCCATTTAGTTTGCGCACAACCTCTTCGTGTTGGTTCTGAACTGTGCTGAAGTGTTCCATAAGCTTCTGGATTCTCTGACCACAGGCTTCAAGGATCTCGATCGTGAGTTGGTGTTCGAGGTCAATGGTTCGCAGAGCTTGCGTCGAGGCGAGTTCCGCGATATACCGGGCGGTAGCCGTCGCGATGACAGAGCGGATCTCGAAGTTTCTGTTTGCGGTAGACATCTCGACGATGACCTGGGGAATGATGTGAAAGTCCATCTCCTTCTTGAGAATGTTCTCGATCTTGCTAGTCGAAAGCTTTGCCAACTTCGCGATACCGTAGTAGTCAGCGACGGCGTTAACGCGAAGGTGGGATACGATCTGGTAGACAGTCTGGTTTGCAATCTTCTGTGACGCTGTAGGAAGGGCTTTGGACAGTTCGTCGTCGCCGCTAACGATCTCGCCCTCCTCCCTCTTCTCGCCCTGATCGTCCTGCGCCGGCTTTCTCTCGGGTTCGGGTGCGAGTCTGTAGTCTGCGCCGTAGAGAAAAGTCACCATGTACTGAACGGTGCGCACACTGAACTCATTGACTGTAATGACCTTCGAAGTTGTTTCCTGCTCACAGTGTTAGCGAGAGCTGGTGGTTGTGGGCTTTTGCACGTACCTCAAAGCCGCCTTTGAGCGCCGCGCTGATGACAGGCGACTGAGGGCAGACAATCATCTGGTGAAGCTTGAACTCGCGATCCTTGCAGACCATCTTGAAGTCGCTGTACTCTCCGGACTGCAGCAAATGCATAAGAACGGAATGAGGTTGGGGCGCCATCGTGGCGAGCCTTCGGGTCGATTGTTGAGGCTCTCTGTGGTTTGGTGTGAAGATGCAGAGATAAGAAGTTGCCGTTGAGATTTTGAAGAAGGAGGAAACAAAGAAGCAAGCAGCGCGGCAGTGAATGATGTCATAGAGATGCAGCAGCCTTCTCTCCCATTTGCTCTGTGATAAACGCGTGTATGTTTGTCGGTAGCCTGCAGTGCCTGACAGTGCTTGACGGCCCGAGCTCAAATACCATCACAAACACTGGCCAATTCACCAGATTGCCAACTGATGCATCATAACGATTGGCGGAGAACAGCAGGTTTTGGCCTCTGTTGATTTTACAGGTACCTAGATCCACTACAGAGTCACCCAAGAAGTGAAGTCGGGTCAAGTTTGGTAGATCCACCGCAAACTGAATGTGACAACTCCACTCTGGGTTACAGCACATTCTTGTTTCTGACACAGAAAGGCATATAAGACTGGATTGAGAAGTTGTACTTGCCACTAAATCAACTCAAATGTATTCATGGACAAAGGGTAACTTGGTAGTCATATGTCTGCACTTGCTCACCTTGGAACCAAGCTTACAGATACCCATGACTCTCCAACCACGAACGGACATTGGACACGCCACGTTCAGCCCATGATCTTCGATGCTCCATGCCCTCCAAGTTCTGGTCAAGCACCATGTGGTAGCTCTTTGTGTCACGCATCAAAAAGAATGCTTTCACATCCTCAATTTGCTCCTGGGTATGCCGACCCTCTAGAGCATTCCAAGGAACAAAGACGCGATGTCAACCGGAGCCTCTTTCTCCACCCTCTCCCAATTCTCCTTGTCCACTCCCAAAGCTCAATCGCCCCGTGAGCCGTTCCGCCAGCCCGCCAACTGAGGTAGAACATCTAGTCTCCAGATAGCTTCAGCTCTCCTTGTGTAGCTGTGTTTCCAACTTACGTCGTGGTTCTCGACGGCCGTGTCGGTAAGTAGTTGGCCGAGAACCCACTTCATGAGTTCAGCGGTGGATGCTCGTCCAAGGCACTCTGAAGCAAGATATTATTCGTCCTCGTCGGATAAATTCTCCCAGAGATCGACGAGACCTTGGAGTTCTTCGAGGCCGCCGCGGGCTACGACGATTCCAAAGACCTCCCGTCATAAGGACCCCGGGGTTGCATTCTCGTCGCCACCCATGCGTTTTGCAAAAAGTTTCTTTGCGGCTGAGACGACGCTGCACGGAAACTATCAGCCGTCTGAAAGACCAAAGAGATGTTCAAATTCCCTGTGGTGTTCCGCGAGGCCCGCACCACTGAACATGGGTGCTTTGAACGTGACGCGATTCTCGTGATCATCCTTCGAGATGGTCCACTCAAGTTCCACTGCCTTAGGGTCAATCACATCGCTCGCCAGTGTCCAAAGACCCTCATTCAGCTCAGCCCCGTGAAACTTGTAGACAGACTGAATGGATATGCGATTGCAGTCATTTATCTCCCCAAACATAGAATGAGCCCAGTTCAGCGACCTTGACGTCGAGGTCGAACAATTCGCTTGTCTTGTTCACTCCTGCAGCAACCAATGCTTTGAGATCGCACGATAATCCTATACAGTCGCGCAGGCTGAGAGTGCCGACTGATGCCTCCTCGAGGAGACGCGTGAGTAGACCGTGTGAGTAAGAGGTGCGGAAGAAGCTGCCATGGTCTGTGTTAACTTGGAATAGATCGTCGGAAGAAGGAAGAATCAACTCCCTCGTGTTCATGTCTACGCTGGATTGCAAACCTGAGTGCATAGATTGTAAAAGATGGTGTATCTTCTTCCTTTGACACACCGCTGGTCAAGAAGCTGTGATGGAAGAGTCCAACACCCGTGAGATTGCCACTCTCGTCATGGGATTCAGAGACAGGGAGAACAGGGAAGCCAGGGTATTTGGTGTAAACTTTCATGCTCGCTTCGATAGATCCGCCGATGACCTCTTCTTGGGCCTTCCAAAGGTCATCCGACTCGGTGCACTGGAATTGGTGACGTCGATGATACAGCTTCAAGCCGTCAAAGAATTTGGTGTCGCCCAGGCTGTTGAGAACCACCCTGAGGATACATGAGCCCTTTTGATAGGAGATCTTGTCATAGATCTGTTTCGCATCGGTTGGGTCTGTGATCAACTACTCAACTGGATGGCTGCGGGTAAGGGAGTCGAGGATGAGCCATTTCTGAAGAGTGTGGGCGACGTAGGAATCCCAGAAATGCCAGCTTGGAAACATCTTGTCCGCAGCGTACCAGGGCATTAATGTAACGAAACATTCTCTTAGCCACAACCCATCCCAGTGTCTCATCTTAACCAGGTCATCGAACCACATATGAGAGATTTCGTGAAGGATAGTCCCTGCAATTCTCTGCATGGTATCCAGAGCCGAGTCTTTGGGGTCGAGCACAAGATTCGTAGTTCTGAGAATGATAGCTCCCCAGTCCTCCATCGCGCCCGTAGAAAATTCGAGAACCCCGATCAAATCGGGTTTTGGGAGAGGGTAGAGCAGCTCAAAGCAGTCTTCGAAAAACTGCTGGCCTTTGGCTGCAAGGTTCACTGCGAAGGTAGCCTCTTCTTCACCGCCAAGAGGACAAAAGACAGATCTGGGGATCGTGCTGTTTGTGCATTTTACCTAGGCTAAGGTTCCCGCTACCAGACCGAGATGCTTTGACAGTCAGGCGACGTGTTTGGTATTTTGTGAGATTGGCACTCACGTATGTTGACATGTGAGCGCTCTTCTGAAACTGCACAACGTTCTGGGATGAATTGTCCAAGGCTACAGACTTTTCCACTGGCATATTCAAGACGGCGATAAAGGATCCATCTACCACGATGGAGAGGGTGAACTCGGCTTCGATGGTAGGTTCACCAAAACAGGGGAAGACCTAAAGCAAATCACTCATGGCTCAGAGATTACGTATCAAAGCTCGAGAGATGTTTACCTCCTCCTGTATGTCGGCTCCATGGCTGTGGCCGCAATAGGGTGCTTCACACCATCATCTGTCTCATAGCTGGCCTGGTAGAGCCCAGTCAAGTCGCTGTGAAACTTGCCGGTGTATTTAAGATAATTGTAAGTTCGTTGTGACCCTCTGGGTCAACTCTTTGGGGTAGTTCTACTTTGAAAGTCTCGCGCGCCTCGTTGTAACTTTGCCATCTCAGTGCGTCAATAAACGTCGGTTGCATTGGCGTTTCCCATTCATACATACTTGATTGTATCCGTAGCACCTCAGGAATTACCCTTGAACCTGATGCTCGCGTCGTTTACCATGATTAACTTGGAATGCAATTCAAGATACAAACAGGTCTCGATTACGGTGCAACTGTGATTAGATTTGTCAGCACTTCGGAAACACGCAACGCGTCGCTGTTGGCTGGAGGGCCTCACCTGATCCTGACAAAGCCTTCGAATTTCTCACCGTTGAAATCAGGATCGAGTGTGATCTCGTATGAGACAGGGTTTACACTAGCCGGCAGGAGGATGCGCTCTTCCTTCTCCATGATGGGGCTGAATGAACGTGCTCGAGGAGTGGTCAAATCTTCAGTGATAGGGCTAGTAGAGTAGATGCAGTAACGGACGAAGGATTGCAGCGTTGAGATGAGAGGGATAGAAACAAAACCTCTGTCGGGGTCAAATTTCTTTTTGTGGCGGCGGAACAAAAAGGCCTACACCAGTAGTGCGGTGTTATTGTATTGCACGCCCGCGCAAGGTGCAGGAGTGCTGCGACAGGCCTGCTTCTTTCTAGCTCAGGTCCTACGGTACTCGGGGTCGTTGGCTGAACGAAGCAAGCTGGTGAAACCAAGCTTTCAGCTAACTGGGCCTTTGAGGTCAAGGAATCATGGTGCTACAACTTGTAGCTTTAATCCCACAATAAAAGATCAATCTTCATTTTCGTTTCCTCATGTTTGCATCCAAGTTGCCTCCATTCATCGACAAGGAAGGCAGAATGTAAGCTCCGCCTGAATGTGCTGGTTGAAACTCGAATGGATTTCACTTCGTCGTCTCCCTTACTCTTACTCCTATATGCAACCTCAATCAGGCTCTCAGCTTGACTCTTTCATTGGCCGTTGGTATAATGTTTCGGGCGGGGTAAGCGCTTGCTCTTATCGCGCCAGTATGCAGGCGTTCACTAGTTGCATTACCGGTGTGATATCTCTATGCGTGGCGTCGGTGGGAGATGAAGCTCCAGGGCTATCGCAGCAAGGATGGCAGCCCAAGAGAAAAAAAGGCAGCATAATCTTGGGTTGCACCAATCGTCAGTTTCCGCTGAAAACTCTTATTCCTTTCCTTCAATCTACTCTGGACATCGGTCTACGACTTCAAAATGATACGTCTAGGATGGCTTTTATGGGCTTTTGCTTGCCTACCAAACCTGGCTGTCTCAACCTCTCCAACTTACCTCGAGCAAAGCATCCAAGATCTCAACATTACAAACCCCGAAGAAGTCAAACTCTTTGTACAAGAGTGGACTAGACCAGGCGTGATCAAGCGACTGGAATTCGCTCCCTTGGCCTCCCAACTGCCGACTTGGGATCTTCCTCTTGGTCGTCGCCAAGATCAACTGGTAAAATGCTTTGGAAACGACAACGGATGCGCAGAAGCTACTCCTCAATGCTGCGGTACCCAAGCCAATGGGTGGTGCTGTGGTGACAATAGGGCTTGTTGCCGAGCAGATCCTGGAGGTAACTGCTGTCTTGAAGGACAGAGCTGTTGCGGAACTTCAAAAGATCCAGGTTGGGGAGCTTGTTGCGATCCTGATGCGACATGCTGCAATCCTTCAGTCGGGAAGCCATATGTAAGTCATGGTCAGGTTATCTTGACCATTGCTGATCTCGGTAGTGCTGCGATGAAGACCAGAAGTGCGACAATGATGCCCGGACATGCGTCAATCCTACGTGAGGCCGCCTTTTTACATTCGATTGATACGCAGCTGACACTATACAGGGCAACTGTGACCGAGACAACGACTTCGTGGGCGACCGAAACCGACACCGAGACCGTTACGACAGATGGCACAACGACCGTAAAAACCGTGTCGACCATAGAGACCACCATACTTGTGACGGTATCCCGAGGCCCTACAGATGATGAAGCTACCAGGGAGGATACGGCTACAGACTCGGACAGAAAACATAAGCGATTTATCCCCGCGGCTCCTCATAAACACGCCGGTCGCAAGGTTCCAGTAACCACTACAATACAGCCTGTCATCCTCCGACCAGCTGCAAGCCTCAATGCGCTAGCTGAAGGTCTTGCTCGACGAGGAATCCCTATCCAAAGACGAGCAACAGACACGGAAACAGTCTACGAGACGGAAAAGGCAACGACAACAATTACCGACACAGAAACAAAGACAGAATGGACAACCAAGTACTCAACTTCGACCACAACGCATAAGCAGACTGTCACGGTTTTTGTTCAAGGTCAATCCACCGTCACCGTAGGGCCTACGGGAACAGCATCAAGCTCTTCAGAATCAGGCTCCGACGATGGCGGCGCATCCAAAGGCACTATTATCGGTGCAGCCGCTGGCGGCGGCCTGGGCTTGGTATTGATCGCCCTGCTTGCTTTTTTCCTGTGGAGGCGACGACGCAAGACTGCAAATCAGACGCAGCCTAGCCAATTTTATGCAGCCAACAGTGAAGCCCCTGCAACGGCACAGAAGCCACCACCTCCTTTCATATCCTCGCCCCCAACGCCGGCTGGGGCACGCGACACTTGGGCCTCGAGTCCCAGCCGAAGCGAGTATTCCCAGCCGCCTGCATATCCGTCTCCCATGCCGGAGTTGGCCAACACTCAATTTGCTTATGAGATGCATACGTCGCCGCAGCGGTCGCCACAGGAGCTGTATCATTCCCAGTACATGGGTGGCTTGGGATTGCCTGAGATGAGGGATCAGCGGAGGGGTTAGTTCACATGTATGCAGAGCGAGGTGGCGAAGTTGCACTGTGGGTCAGCTTGGGGGATAGTGTAGGCGTGAGGCTGAAAGGCTTCGGTGTGATTGGTGCTACAGTGAAGGATTTCATGCTGGTAGATAAGACAAGGGTCTGAATGAGAGCCTGATTTAAGCCACCCTTGTAGCCAACATCAAATAACGGCGCGAGAACCGATGTCCAATGTTACATGTTCACCTGCCTCTACAAGATGGTGGTTTAACACAATGAATCTCCGAACTTGGGAGAAAGCGAAGTCTGCAAGCCCTAGTATTTATTTTAGTTACTGTGTACCTGAAACTTCTCAATTCTAGAATCAGGCTGGAAAGGAGGTCATGAGGTATTCAGTCTCGTGACTGGGTGAGACTGAACCACAGAATATACACTCCACAGTCACCTTTCTCAACAACTAAACGTTATTCTCGTTTACCTATCTGCATCTGCTAATATCGTCAAGATAAACCATTTCTGACTAAAGATAGAGCCCTTGCGTGATGCTGCTGTGGCAGCAGAACAGGCTATTTCTTCTTACGTCTCTCACGGCTGCTACGTCCAGCATCAAACATCGCCTGCTTGGATGCCTCCTGTTTGGCAGCCTCTTCGGCCTCCTCCTTCTCCTTCCTGGCTTTGTCAGGTTTGTTCTTGCTGCTGTCTCCAGTTGCAATCATTGCGTCTTCGCACTCATCCTGGTACTTGCCCTCACTGTCTCAAAACATATCACAAAGATCAGCATATTTCTGCTCGCCTCTGAGTTAACAATTGACCCATCACATTATTTCAGAACGCGTCATCAGTAACTAAGTACTCCGTCAAGGACGCCGAGTCTTTCTGTTCATGGTTTCAAGCGGTTCTTGGAACGAGCGCGAGAGAGAGTACAGCGTTTCCCGAGAGTCACATTTCCCCACCTTGAGCGAGGCGTCTCCACAGTGTTCGCCTCTCCTCAATTGCTTGATCGCGTTCATTTCACTTGTTATCGGCCAATCTACCATTTGCAAACACATCCGCATACACAGAAGCTTCAGTATTACCGATGGATGCTAGGCAGGACGCTGATAACCTGGCTTGGGACCAGAGCGATGAGCGCTGGGAAAAGGCACTGAAACACGTCCGAGCATCAGCTACGTGTCGTAAAGTTGAAGCATTTGCTGGTCGAGCCTTTGGCAAACCAGCGACTCTAGTCACTCCGTTAATCATTGGTGGTTTCAACGCCGTCTATCCCTTCAAAATCGAAGGCCTGGAATCTCAGGTTCTTGTCCGGCTACCTTGTCCCGACCAGGCGATGTTCCCAGAAGAAAAGACAATGGCAGAGGTCGCCACAGCAGCCTGTATCAAGCAACATACTCAAGTACCTATCCCCAAGATATTCCATCATGGTATTGATGAACAAATTGGACCGTACATGATTATCGAGGACCTTGGCACCAGGCGTGGGATGAGTCATGCTTTGGAGGCGCTGATAACGATGTTGTCGGCGCGATAGATTGGGAGTTCGCCTACGTTGGACCATCCCAATTCACGTTGGATCCACCATGGTGGTTATCACTCGAGGTGCCCGAGATGTGGGATGACAGCATTGAAGACTGGACGAGTACCTATGGACAAAGACTTCAGACCTGGCTGTCCGCTATGCAAGAAGTTGAGAGAGAGGCCAGCTCAGACTTGCCGCTTTCGGCGTATATGAGGGAGAGTTGGGCTACTGGCCGATTTTGGCTGAATTATGCTGCTCGAAAGAGCTGGTCCTTTGATGCTATCTATTGGAAATATCTAGACGAAAGATTCTTCGGCAAGAGGGCAGAAGACAGTTCTTCGAAGGAATTATGGAAGGCTAGAGTAGAGTTGCTTACTGAAGCTGAGCGAAAAGCGATGGAGGTACTCGTGAAGACAAAAGTGGAAGAGTCAAAAGAGCGAGTTCTGGTGGACTGGAACGCTGGAAAGGCGAGACAGCACCTATCTGCATTCTTAGTTACATAATGCAAGGCTTTTCTTTTTTCCGAAGTGGACATTTCACGAACAAACTGGCGGAAGTTCAAGGGATATTTGCCTTTAACCCTTACAGTTGGTGATCCAGGCTAAATTGTTATTGGAAAAATTCCACAAGTCCAGACCTTTCCGAGTTGCAGCTTGGCAGAAATAAATGGCTCCGCTTTAGGCCCCATGGGTATTGCGCTGGACAGTGTAAATATTGAAGGTGCTGAGAATCGGTATAGGCCCTATTCTTAAAGTCTCGAAATGCTGCAGTGAATTGAACCGATCTATGGAAGCAATCATTGAGTCTCAAGAGCCCTGGAATGGGAGAGCATGGCAACCTACTACCGATATCAATGCGGAGGCCACTGGTAGTCAAGTAGCTACAAACTGTAACAGCATGTTTAACACATTTAAATGAGAGACTCATGTTAGCCAATTAGACTCCGTGATCTTATCATATGAATAAGCACAGCACTAGTATACTGAAGATTCTCATGGTAACGTCAGCCTACCAGCAGCTTACCTTTCCTGGGCTATACTAGATATGGCACACCTCAGCTTACAAGCGGAATTCCGTTTAGCGCTTACCCGACCATACAAAGCCATCGTTGGGCGCTTGCGCGAAGTTCAACCATCAGAAAACTCTTGTTATCTCATCTCCATCTTACTAGATCGGCAAAATGGCTGAGAACAAGCCCGTCATCGCCATCGTTCCTGGCGGTTTCTGCAGTCCCGAAGTCTACCAGCCCGTTGCCAACATTTTGGAGCAAGACGGGTTCAACGTCATCATCCCAAGATTAACCGTCACTAAAACCCTCATCTCCAAAGATCCCGCAACCCCTGAGTTCAAAGAATTGGCCAACAAGGGTCTGCTCGATGACGTTGAGGAAATCCACAGCCGTCTGGCTTCCGAGTTCGAACAAGGGTCAGAGGTTCTGATCTTTGGGCATAGCTACGGAAGTCTCCCTGCTCTACTCGCCATCGAAGGGCAGACGATTGCAGAACGCAAGGCTAAGGGACTTTCTGGTGGCATTAAGGGATATGTCGCTGTAGCTGGGTTTGCATATGCACAGAGAGGGAAGAACGCCAGAGGCGACACGGAGCCAGCGCCGCCAATGCCGTATTTCGAGCACGAGGTATGTCAATCACCTACCCTGCATCAAACTCCACAGATGCTAATTAATTCAGGATGGGGTCTTTCACATGACAGAGGTCGCAAAGCCACTATTCTTTAGCGATCTTCCCCCCGAGAAGCAAGATGAAGCTTGGAAGCTGGTCCTAGGAAGTCAAAGCCAGAAGAGTCTTGGCCACGTATCGGACTTTATCAACTCTGACGTCACGGTTCCCAAGACATATATTTTGTGCGAAAAGGATCAGACTGTTCCTCCAGAGTTACAGGAGATGCTTATTCAGGCTGGAGGTTTTGAGAAGGTAGAGAAGCTGTCGTCAGGTCATTTTCCGTTTGTGAGCATTCCTCAAGAGACGGCCAAGCTATTTGCACAAATTGCCCTGAGATGAATGGAGGCAACTTGTCGGAAGGGTTGGATAACTATAGATTATGAGCTGTGAATATTAGGTTTTTATGTGATCGGAGCGAATATTGATTTGACCGGCTTCGTGAGAACAGGGTAACTATTTGCGCGCATATGCAATATTGTCTTCTTTCCCGTATCTGCTGCCTAGGGGTCTTTTACTATAGTTTTAAGCTACCGATTCTCATTTCAATATGGCTCACCGGATGTACGGGATGTTCCGTTTCATCAATCCACTTTCTCATCCAAAGTCTAGAGTGGCCAGGATACGAGCTAGGAAACATCGTTGTTTCATTTACGTCGCATATCGATCTCTTCCTATTCTTACAGGAGATGGGATGATCGGATCTGTACGTCTTCCAATGACCGGTCGCCTTTTAAATTAGCAACAATGGATGCCACTGGCATTTATACGATCATCGTGACCGCTGTAACGAAGCTAACGAAATTAAGGGCCGTACAAGGCTAAACTGGCTTGTCACTGACGGAAATAATTTCTCCACCACAGTCGTACTTTTAGACTTAACTGAAACAAGGAGCTAAATAACTTCGCATAGAGCAGTTTCTTCGAGGAATAATCCGACGAATCCGCGCATCCCTTTACTTTGAGACTATAATTCAGACGATGGTTTCGCGTAAGACGAGACTGATTCTCCAGTCCATCTCTTGGCTTCATCGACTATCGCCATCATGAAGTTCACCCTCTGCCTCAGTGCGCTCACAGTGCTCTTCACTTCCGTGACGGCCCAAAAAGTCTCTGGTGCCGCACAAGGTTTCGCCCAAGGTGTCACGGGCGGTGGCTCCGCTGCAGCAGTTACGCCGAAAAATATTCAAGAACTGGTAACTTATCTCACCGACAAGACGCCCCGCGTTATTGTGCTTGACCGAACGTATGACTTTATCGGTTCAGAAGGCACTGTTAAAGAGAAAGGATGTGCGCCATGGAAGACTGGTGCGGGATGTCAGTTGGCTATCAACGCAGCTGGGAACTGGTGCGGTAACAATCCCAAGGTTGATGTTACGTATAGCAAGGCTGGAACGAGTGGGATTAATGTCGCTTCTGATAAGACGATTATCGGAGTTGGGAACAAGGGTATTATCAAGGGGAAGGGATTGCGGTTTGTTAATGTCAAGAACATTATCGTTCAAAACATTCGTGCGTCACTCAGACATACAGTGTGTCAGCTCGTTAACACGTTTGCTTGCAGATATCACGAACCTGAACCCTCAGTATGTCTGGGGTGGTGACGCCTTCACCTTCTCGGGCACCAGCAAGATCTGGGTTGATCACTGCACCGTAAGCTGATCTGTTCATACAAGTCAGAGCATTGCTAACCTTTCCAGACATCGCTCCTTGGTCGTCAGCACTACGTCTTCGGCCGCGACAAGAGCACTGGTATAACCCTTTCCAACAATCACATCGATGGTCATACGCAATGGTCCGCTGGCTGCGACGGCTATCACTACTGGACCATTGAGATGGTCGGCCAAGGCGACCAGATTACCCTTCAGAGTACACCTTCCCCGCCACCATTACCAAGATCTCTACTGACACCTTTCAGACAACCTCATCGAGCACACCTCAGGCCGTGGCCCAGCCCTCTCAGCAACCACATTCCTCCACGCAGTCAACAACGTCTGGCGCGACATCAACGGTCACGCCATCGAAGGCGACACCGCCGGCAAGGGTCTTTTCGAAGGCAATGTCTTCCAGAACGTCAAACAAGTCGTCGTTCCCGACTTCAAGGGCCAGCTCAACAGTTGCCCTGATAGCGCTGCTGCTAGCGCTACCCAACAGTACCTCGGTCGCGTGTGCCAGGGCAATATCTTCACTTCATCTGGTGCATTTAACAGAAAGGATACCGGTTTTATGTCGGAGTTCAAGGGACTGCCTATTGCAAGGTCGACGCAGGCTACTACCGCTCAGAGCAAGGTTCCGGGTAATGCTGGTTTTGGAAGGATCTGATAATGTCGTATTAAGACTTTGATGCGATTTGCTCTCTCGCAAACCATGCTGACGTGAGATTTTCGGGCCGCGATGTGCGTGGCTATAAACATTTTAACAGCGCTTCGCAGTATATATCATTCTCTCTGTACATTATCATCATTCAATTCATTAAAACTATGGGTTCTTTCCACTCAATGTCAGATGACGTTATATACCCCACGCACATGATAGACAATGTGTCCGTCCTCAAGTTCCTTATCATGGCATGGACCATGCGCTTCAATGATGTCTTGAACGCGGACAAGCTTCAAAAAAGCCTATCGGAACTACTCACAGTTGGCGATTGGAAGAAGCTCGGTGCAAGATTGAGATATGGGCTTAACAAACGAGGAGCCCTCGAGGTTCATGTTCCCACTACGTATACAAATGAGCGGCCCGCCGTGTCTTACTCACATCAGCATTACGATATCAGCATCGAGGATCATAAAGTCGGCAAGCTCTTACCGAAAGCGACTATTCGACCGTCAACCTTCCCAGGAGCATCGGGGCCTCGGGACTTTGATATACCTCCCGGTGCACCTACATCGCTGAAGGATTATACCAGTCGGGATGTCCCAATGATAGGTCTTCACATCATCACATTCCAAGACGCGACAACTGTTACTATAACGTGGCCGCATGTCCTGTTTGATGCAGTTGGATTCTCCCACCTGATCGAAGCTTGGTCAGCCGTACTCGCTGGCCATAAGGAACGTGTCCCAAAGGTCATTGGTGCAAAGCAAGATGTTCTTTACGATCTTGGAGATGTGACCCAATCTGAACCGCAGGATGCAGCCAGTGAAGCTCGAATTCTTTCTGGTATAGCGTTCATACTGTTCGTCATTCGGATGCTCTGGGTCATATTCACTCAACCGACCGTGGAAAGCCGCATCATCTGCCTGCCGAAAGACTTGGTAGACAGGCTACATGAGCGAGCGCTGGACGATATCAAGGAGGAAAACTCGGACGTGGATGATCCATGGGTCAGTCCGAGTGATGCCATCTTGGCATGGCTCACCCGTGCACTGGTCGATCCATCCCAAGCACCCCGTCCAATGAGCATGACAACTCCGATCGACGCAAGAACCCGATTACCTAAACTTCAAAACGTGGACGGCGTCTACGTTCAGAACATGATCCTGGGGTCTTTCGTCAACATCACACCAGACGACCTTCGCAGGTCATTGGGAAAGCAAGCCCTCGTGAGCCGCCGAGGCTTGTTGCAGCAACTGGATGAGTCGAACTTGGTAGGTATCCTACAACTCTTCCGCAAACGCTGGGACATCGGCAAAACGAGAGCGCCAATCTTCGCTGCGCCTGGTAGCCAACTTTTGGTTACCAACAACAGGCTCAAAATCGATCTTTTTACAGCTGCAGACTTTGGACCAGCTGTGATTCAGGCTGGTAAAGACCAACAGAGGAAAACCCGCCCAGGCAGACCAGTTCATCATTATGCCTCATCGTTGAATCCTGGCATTACAATGAGGAATTTTGTTAATATCCATACGAGAGATGTCGATGGTCATTATTGGTTATCTGGCTTCTTCACACCGCGGCAGTGGTCAAGGGTCGAGGAAGGGTTTCAAGAATTACTGTAAGATTGGATAACGAGAAACGGGAATGAATATCTTCAGAACTACGGTTGAAAGATCGACTCATTAAACAAGTCCTTTTGTGTTCAATGATGGTGTGAATGCACACAAGTCCCACGAGTCTGAAGCCGCTGCACAGATCTCTTCCCCTCCTCCGACAAATCCCTCCCCTGGATGCCCCCAACACTCCTCCTCTCAATCATCTTGCCAACATCATCATCATTCGCAAACTTCGCCTTAACACCGTTCTTGAAGTCAACCTCATCAGCGATGTACACAACCTCACCGCCCACCATTGTCAACAGGGTCTTCTGTCTAGCGATATGCTCCGCCGGGACTTCGAAGTAATTTGCTTGGAGGACAATAGCATCTGCAAGCTTTCCGATTTCAAGAGAACCGATGTAGGCATCGGCGCGGAGGAAGCGAGCGCTCTCGGTTGTGATAGCGCGAATGGCTTGGTCGCGTGTCAGAGTCAGACCTGGAAGACCGTTGCCGTTGTAGGGAGCTCCTTGCGAGGCTGGGGAATTGGGGTTCTTGGGATCGCCTGAGCGTGTGACGCCTGCTTTGATGGCGAGCCACTCATCCAAAGGATCAATCTATCGCTGCCATTAGTTTTAATACCTTCGATACAGTCTATGGTCACATACCGGCCAGTCGCTACCATAGACAATAGCAGACCCAAACTTGGCAAGTTCTCCAAAAGCTTCCATGTAGTGCGATCGTCTTGGACCCATACTCTTGACACCATTTGGGAGCCAGACTGAACTAGCCTGTGACCACTGAAAGCTCATGATGGGATCGGCCTTGAGTTCAGCGAAGCGAGGCCAATCTGAAGGGTCAGTCACTTCGTTGTGAGCAAATCCCACCCGGTAATCACGAAGTTTCGGGTTCTTGTTGCGTAGCTCCTCGAGGGCATCGAGAGCTGTCCGAACAGCTCGATCTCCGTCAACATGGATCTGAGCATCGATGTTGTTCTTGAACAGTTTAGTCAGGGTCAGACTCAAAAGTTCCTTGTCCCAGTATGTCTTTGGACCGAAGTCTGACTTGGGTGCCCACATGGACGTATTAGCCACAGGTTGAAAGTATGGCTCGATGAGAGATCCGGTATTCGCAGGGTATAATAGAACGCCATCCATGAACATCTTCACAGCGTGCCACTTCATAGAAGGGCTGGGTCCCAGTTCCCTCTTATCATTCCACGCTGAAGTAACATTGACCACGTCCTTGACAAGATCATCAATTCCCGCAGTGTTGTTGGGTGGCTGCACGAGATAGTTGAAAAAGCCACGAGCTGTTAGGCCTCCCTGCTTCTTAATAGCCGCAAACGCAAGAGCTGTATCCTCGCTGGACGCAGCCTCTTGGAAACTTGTAACGCCTTCCTCGCGGAGAAGCTTCAACGCAGCTCTGGCAGATCGGATGTTATCTTCGGCTGTTGGTGGCGCGGGACCTGCTAATAAACTTGTCGCAGAATCTTGTAAGATCCCTGAAAGTTCTTGACTTCCTGGGAGTCGTTCAAATTTGCCGTTTCGTGGGTCTTTTGTCTTGCTAGTGAGGGATGATACCTTCAAGGCAGCTGAGTTGACCCAAAAGGTATGCGAATCAGCTGACGCGACTAAGATAGGTCTTTTTGTCTTGAGCTTGTCTAAGTCCCTCTTCGTAACGCCGCCCGTATCGTCTACTAAGGCATAGTAGTCAAGCGAGATAACCTCTAGCCAATCCTTTTCAGACTTGTCCTTATCATCATCAAGACAACTCTGGACTTTCTCGAGGACTTTACTAAGGCCCAAGGGCTGGAAGTTCATGTTGCACTTGAGAAGACCAGCTCCGCCACTAAGAGGATGCATATGGGCGTCCACGAGACCAGGCATCATCATTCGGCCTTCAAGGTTGAAGACCGAGGTATTTTTAGTGATGTATGACTGGATGCCTTTCTCATCACCTAGGAAGGTGATGTATCCATCTTTGACGGCGAGAGCGGAGTATTTTGTGGAGAGGAGGTCAAGTGAGTAGATGGAGCCATTGTGAAAGACGGTGTCTGCGATGGCTGTCTTGTTGCTCGACTTCTTGGAGGCAGCTGAGCCTGTGGAAACGAGAAGAGCTGCTCCCAGAAGCAGGCTAGAGACCAAACCTGGAGCTTTCATCGCGTTGTTTGGAAACTGAAATTATGACGAGCTGGACTGGTATCTACTGCATTCTATAGTACCATCCGGACAGCCTTATATAGTTATTCTACCTGTCTAAGCGTAAGTCTTGGTTGTTACGTCTTCACCTGCCAAATTGACAAGCGATATCAGATCGTATACTAGAGTCGGCTCCCGCTTCCATAATGGATCTAGACGCGGGAGATAGATTGAGTTATGCTTGATGATAGGCTTGTTCGTAATTTTGCACAAGCCAGGGCACACGATCGTGACCATCTTATCAAGCCCCCTTGTCACAATCCCTGGGTTTGCGGGGAAGTCGCTTGAACTATCCTTTTTGGTTATAGGTTATCATACGTCCCAACTTGGTGTCTTCGACTATTGATCTAGACTACAAAGTTCCTGCCAAGCAAGCCGCTTTCATCTTAGCATTTTCGCTCACCTTAATAGCCTTGAGAAGAAAGGTGAGATACTCGGTGCGGCTGCAGCATTCTATCGCGGCGTAAATTTGGCTTGATCAGATTAATCGCTTTGACTTAAATCACTGGTTAAAGTGGTACGGCACGCAGTCAATTTGAAGTCTATACGAAATATTCAACGTTCAATAAACAGAGTCACATTGATGGCAACTTAATCGAGTTTGCCAAATTGAGTTCAAAGACCCTTGCTCTTCCCCGGCATTGGTAAGAATTAGTGCGTGATCGAGCGATTAATCATTGATCACCCCACCAAATCGCTGGGGCTATACTCCAATCCGTCAGAGATGAGCTCTAATATTGACAGCATATGATTATTGCAATCAATTGGCTTCTTTCATCCTAGCGCAGTGATGGCCTCCGGTTTCTTATCATGACTTCGCGACTATTTGTTAGTTGGCGGTTCACGCTTCTCGATCCCATGACATCACCAAACACTAACGCGAGGTCAAATGATAGGGTATCGTCCGGCTGCAGACCAAGCTTATTGTTGTTTGAGTTAAGCATACTCAAAACAGTGTTTTAGCCTCAAAGAGACGACTATCATAATGTTAGTGTTATTCCTAGTTTATGATGTGTGTAACTCTGGTTCTCTCAAAGACAAGAATTCATGACCGGGATGTCGAGAGCCTATTTCTTAGCTGCAATAAAATTGTGATCCCACCGTCAAATCACCACATAGAACTTAGAAGCTGGAGGCTGAGTAGACTCGCAGCTAAAGCCCGGGTTTCACAACTATCCTCATGGGATTGTTGATCTTGCATTTATTTCCGTATTTCTCTCGCTCGAGATAGATCAGGTGACAGCATCTGTTGAGTTAACCCAATATTTCTCGGTCTTTTGTCCGATATGCAGTCCGCTTGCTCTCCGCATTGCCGATCACAACGTTCATTTTGCCTAATGTTGATCATCAACTTGATTGGCCGGACGGGAATACTTGCATCGTTTACCGTTGCATTCTAACCCCAATTCGCGTGTCGAGATAGGAAAGCTCGGAGGTTACATCACAAAAGTACCTCAGCATGCTGTTGAGACTGTCTCGATGACTACTTCTGGCTCCGAGAGTGAGGTTTTGAAAGCGGTCGAGTACAGTGAGAGTTAATACCAGTGCAGCAATACTGCTGATGGGGTCATAAGATCGACCATCCATTTTGCATCGCTTTCCATTGTCCCATTAGTCGCTACAACATCTACCTCGCTTCGACAAGATCTGGCTCGATCAGATCCCAACCTATAGATAAGAGAACATGCAAATGCATCGAACTCCGTGATCATATCTCCGCCAGTGCAGCCTAATACTACCCTCGCTCCTAATTCGTACAACACCCATCAAACAGCGCATACGAAAAAGCAGCATCCTCTCCACAAGTGAGCGGGTCATGGTGACACCACTGGTTGTTCCCCGAGTCATAGACCTTGCTCGTGCCCATTTTACCCCAGAGTCATTCCCACTCAGCTGCGGGGTAGTCTCGTCAATTGCGGGGGATGATCTACCGACTCGAAGCAATCGCCATGTTTCTCGTTGGTCAAACTATTGGTGATGTTACATTTGTCGCTGATCTGTTACCAATTAAGATGGACATTCGGTGTATCCCTTTGCCGAGACTTGTGCCGGGTTTGTTCTTTTCTCGTTCGGGGGGCTTTATATACCGTCATCGTAGCTGAAATCTTGGTCCTTTTCTCCTCCAACTCGCCCTCTCTTCCACCAAAGTAGTGCTCGTCTTTTGCCACCCGGTATTCTCGCAAAGCAGCATGGACACAGGCAAAGCATCCGTCCAAATGGACGAAGGCGATACCCCCGCCGCCGGTCATGAGCAAAACCTCGAGTCATGGGACTTTAATGCCCAAACCGAAGAATGGCGCAAAGACTTCGACAAGAAACTCCTCCGAAAAGTCGACATGCGACTAATGCCGACTCTCGTCGTGATGTATCTCCTCAACTTTCTCGACCGCTCGAATCTCGCACAAGCCAGACAAGGCTCCCTCGAAGAAGATCTTGGGATGTCAGGCACAGATTTCAACCTCGCCACGTCGATTTTCTTCGTGGGATATTTACTCATGCAACTTCCCTCCAATCTCATCCTGACAAAGCTTCGGCCGTCGCTATACCTCAGCGCCTCGTGCTGTCTTTGGGGCGTTGTGTCGACTTGTAATGCTGCTTCTGATAGCTTCACCCATCTAATTGTCATTCGGTTCTTTCTGGGTTTTGTCGAAGCGCCGTTCTTTCCCGGGGCCGTGTTTTTGATGAGTTCGTGGTATACTAGAGCTGAGCTTACTCGGCGCATTGCATGGCTTTATTCGGGGAATGCGTTGGCGAATATGTTTGGTGGAGTTTTGGGTGCTGCCATTCTCGGCGATCTTGAAGGAGCCCATGGCATTGCAGGTTGGA